TTGATAAGATATAGAGATCTGTTATTGTACATGGTGTCCGAAAATTATGTGAGGTTTCTAAAATTTCTTTTGTTTATAACTTTTCAATAAACAACGAGCAACGGCTAAAATCTTGCATGTTATTCAGAACAGTGACAACATCAAGGTCAAGGTTATTGTGGCTAGGTCCCCTATTCGGTATATTTACCAACTCAAGAATGTGTCATTTCACGGACAATAGAGTTATTTTGAAATAATTCGATTCAATCCCGCTGCAATCCCGTTAGTACTTGATCCATTAATCTTTGAAACGTAGCAGGAGCATTCTTTAATCCGAATAGCATGCGATTATATTCAAAATGTCCGTAAGACGTCGAAAAAGCTGTTTTATATATGTCATCTTTATCCATTAAAATTTGATGGAATCCAGATGCTAAATCAAATATTGAAAATATTTTGCACTTTCCAATTGATCGAGTATATCTACAATATTTGATAATGGATATGCATTACCGACCGTTTTTTCATTTAAGGCTCGAAAATCTATGACTAAACGCCATTTTTTATTGCCTAACGAATCATTTTTCTTCGGAACAATCCACGAAGGAGAATTATAAGGTGAGAACTTGAAGGTTCTATAACACCTTTTTCTAACATTTTCTCAATCTGTCGTTGTATCTCTTCCATATGCACTTGAGGATATCGATATTGTTAGACATTAATTGGACGATCATCATTAGTGAATATACGGTGTTTTAACACGTTAGTTGCTCCTAAAACTTCTCCTGGTAAATGGAATCTTTCCGTATTTTTCGTTACCAAGTTAATGATATTTACTCTTTCTTCTTCGTTTAAATGATCGAGACGTAGTAATTGCAATATTTTATTGACTCGTGATTCTAGATCTCTTGACTCGGATTCGTTGATTTCATTTATTTCATTGTTATTCTTTGTTTCCTCAAAACACGGATATAATTTTACTGTAGGGATCGCTAACTTTATATCCTCATCTGATGATTTATAACATAAGTATGCAATTCCGTGATGATTGGATACGACGGCGTTACCTAAGTATACCTGCGGTCCTGCATCTAATTTCGGAATATATCCGTTTTTTATTTCGGGATTAGCTATATATATATATACTCGTATGAAAATTTGTTTTCGTGTTCGTGCTGGAATTATGACAGTTTCATCATTATAAAAAAAGTATGGAAAAAAAGTAAAATAGTATGGAATTCCGTTTATAACTAAACTGGACTCGGATAGTCAAAATAGTTGCTCGTTGATTTTTGAAGAATTCTGTGTCCAGGATTCTGTTCTGTTGAATCGGACAGTCGTCTGAAACTACATGAAATAACGTGAATGAATCGAAAATGCTGCTTCAAATACAACTTTATTATCAATAAGTATCTTCTCGTGAAGAGAATTCTTCTTTATCAAATTTATTTCAGAACCAGTATCTATCATAAAATTAGTACGTTCTTCTATCAAATCTTTGCTGGGTAAAATGACGGAAGGTGGTTTATCGATTTTGTTACACACGAGGTTTATTCTTGCGCTTCTTCGTGAGTTTGTTCGGGAGTCACTAGGCGCATTCGCGGGCGTTCGTTCAATGTTGCGCCATTTCGCTGCACCCGCTTCCTGTTTCCCTGACTTTCTCTAATTCGAGTTTCTTGATTGTTGGATTGGGGTGGTTGATTTTGTGAATCGTTATTATAATGTCTTTTCCTGCATTGTTCAATCCTATATCCTGATATTTTACAATAACGACATACTAAATTAAAATTTTTGGAAACTGATTTTGTCGATTTACTTGATTATAATTCATATTTCGATTCATATTGTTTATCAGAGTGTTTCGATAATTTAAGCCTCTTGATTAAGGGGTTCTGCATTCTGCACGTGTATGTCCTGAATTTTTGCATAATGTACAAACTTTAGGTTGCCATTGGACATTTGGATTGAGTTACTTGGGCTAATGGATTAACGGTGCTATATGAATAAGCATTTTGTCCATATCTCAAATAATTATTACAGCGCATTGATTGAATAAGTCCCTCAGTAATTTTTATTCGTTGTATATGTTCATTATATTCAGCTTCAGCCTTTATGGCAGATTCAACAGTATGATTTAAATTGACAGGATCACGTGGATAAAGTCTAGAATATATGTCAGTTTTTAATCCTGTTAAGAAATTTTTGATGGCATTAGCTTCTGCAGAATTAATTAATTGGATCGCTTGATTTGGATTTTCGATTTGATAACAGGATTTCAATTGTTGCAATATCTATCATTGATACGCGGCTACCATAATCCACCACAGATTCTGGATGCTGTGTCACTTTAGAAAGTTCTCCGTGTAATTATGATGAAGAATAAACGGGTGCAAATATGGTTTTTATGACAGCTAATAAATATTCTATATTATTATATTCTCTGCTCAAAGCCACTCTTAAAGCAGGTCCTACTAATTTATTTTTAATCATTTGTACCAAACCATATTCTGCTCCGGGAGAGACCATATTTTTTGCATGTAAGCAGCTATTAGCGAATTGTGATATTAGCTTTTTTCCATCGAATGGAAGAATTGTTTGCTGCGTCGCGCAAGCTTACATATGGTACAGTATTACTAGGATTAGCGCTTGTATCATCGGATACGCTCTTGTTTCCTATTTGTCTAGTTAACGTATCTACTTCCCCAGTATGAGACACACTTGTAGAATATTCTTAATAAATATCGCACGAAAGAAATTGAAATATGATACTTGTAACACTTACATATAACATGCAGTGAAAAAAAGTATGAGAATACTCAAAGCCTGAAGACTTGATTCCTTATTTGCAATTTTATCCCCGCTGTCATGTTCCTTCTGAACAAGGTATTCTTCTTCTTTTGAAATGTAGACAGGATCCAGGCTTCAGTCCGGTTTATTCGAAGGAATCAGCGTATCCCACCGCTGCCATCAAATTTTTGTTGTGACGTTCCGGTAACTTCGATCAGTTAGTTCCGTGAGACAGGATCTTCCAATAGTTTTACGAGTTCGATAGAACGTCTTAGTTGGTTCTTTCGGTTAAGGGAGTAAAACCCCAGTATAATTAACTGCTTTGAGTTGAGTTTTCTTCACTGATAATGATTAAAGAAATATATTTTTGTTTAAAATTTGAATTCTTTAGTCTGAATTAATTTGATCTAGCGGTTTACAGTGCGAGTAAGAATCTGAGTGAGTTTAAGTCTAGAGTGAATCTATGATAATGCTCTCTTCTGTTGTTGGAAGTGTTTTTATACACTTTTAAAATTGAATGGTAGGAGTAACTTATGACAAAGTTTTAAGAGCAAATTCCTTGGCTATAAAACGGATTTTTGCGAACTTCTTGAGTGGTCTTTAAAAGAAAGTTTTTTAGGAATACGTATTAACTGATTCTTCGAATGCATTCCTTACAAGGTTGTGTCCATACATTATAATAAATTACGATAAATGACCCTTTTCAAAGATTTACAATAATTGTTTAATAATTATTTAAAATATTGGTCATTTATCGTGATTTTTACATAAATAGATTCTCCTTAATCTTTTAGACATATTTTACATTATATTATTATATAGTTAACATAATAAGAGAAATTAAAAGGATTTTCTTATAGCGGTCCTTGTCTTTCCTAAGTATTAAATATAAGTCTATCTCGCTCGTATAGATAATTCATCTCTCTCTCTCTCTCTCTCTCTCTCTCTCTCTCTCTCTCTCTCTCTCTCAGATTCGCATTTTATTATAGGTGACGTATAAGTGTGTCTCTCTTAGTTTTATGTTAGATTATGCTTGTAGCTTATTGGATGGAGGATAGTGAGAAAAGAAAAAATTTTACTAGGGATCACCGGACGTGACAATATATATACACTATATCCTATATATATATATATATATATATATATATATATATATATATATATATATACAGGGTGTTTTATTTTAATCCGACCACCTACATTTCTCGGAACCTAAGCAAGATAGAGAAAAATGTTTTAGACAAAAGTTGTATGATTTCGAGGGGGACATAAGATGGTGTCATTAGTTTGATCTTAAAGAGCCACCTGAAGGACACGCGAAGGTCAGCTCCAACTTTTTAAATGGGACACCCTATATGCTTTTGCATATTCTTATAGCTCATCTCAAGAGCTTTCCAAAACACTATAATTAAGTTAGTTTTCATTAAGTACTTTCCAAGTTATGAAGCTTGAAATCATTTTTTAATTTTATATAAACCGTAAAATATCTTGTAAAATATTCATTTTTCGATTATGTTACCTTAATACTTTTATGTACAAAATAATGAGAAGAATCAATTGGTGTAAAGAAAACTCATAGTTGTTTCGAAAAAAAAAAAATGTAATTTGCAATTAACAATTACATATTTTTTCTTAAAAATAACTATGTCTTTTCTTTACACCAATTGATTCCTCTCATTATTTTGTACATAAAAGTATGAAGGTAAGATAATCGAAAAATGAATGGTTTACTAGATATTTTATGGTTTATGTAAAATTAAGAAATTATTTTAAGCCTTATAACTCAAAAAGTATTTAATAAAAAGGTACTTAATTATAGTGTTTTGGAAAGCTCTCGAGATAAGCTACAAGAATATGCAATGAAAAATAGGGGGTTCCATTTAAGATTTCAAACTTGCCCCCCCTCACCGCCCAGGGGGAGGGGTGTGGGGGCTGATTTTAACGTCATTGTACGTCCCCCTCGAAATGACGAAATTTTGATTGTAACCATTTTTTCGTAGTGTGCTTATTTTTCGAGTTATTTGGCTGCCTAAGTTAAAATGGGTCACCCTGTATATATATATATATTACAGTTCTAAATATATATTTGTGTTATATTATTGTTGCTTCTTATTTATTATTGTTACTTCCATGTTATATTATTGCAGCCAACAGTGTTCATTGAGATTTGTTTTAATATAAATATTTTAATATAAATATAAATATAATTATGATTTTATGCAATTTTACTTTACCAAATATTGTGTTGCTCTGCCTTTGACCAACTTTTGAATAAATATAGTAGATTCTTCTCGTTTTTGTTTACTATTCCATATACTCAATCTGCGTGATGTAGCGGATAAAGCCAGCTGTTTGCAATCACGCTTTATTAATCTTGGAATTACATCTACGGATTTAACGTTCATTCGGATAGCCTTTAGGTCCAAATAAAGTTGCTTCAGTTTTTCCTCCGTCCATCTAGTTTCTCGTATACAAATATCTATCGATTTAGGCTTGTGCTTAATTATTTTTGGTTCTTCGATGATCGGTATCCAGTTGAATATTGTATCTTCTTTTTCCCCTTCTAAATAATAATATTGAAATTAGATGCATATACAAGATAGCTTAATTTTAATGAATACTTTGATAGAAGCTTTTTGATATTTTTCAAAAATCAAAAGGCTTCTATCAAAAAATGTTTCGTTCAAAGTTTTATGATTTTGAAAAGGACATAAGATGGTGTCATTGATTTGAATGAAAATCATAAGATTATTTCAAGGCCATCTTGATTTTTTTTTAACAGAATCACCCTAATTTATTCATATAAATCGATTCTTCACAATTTTCTTTATAAAAAGTAATAAATAAATGTAGGTAGCCAAAAGTTGAATACATGTAATTTATAAGATATTTTATATAAGTTTTTATATTTTATATAACTTGACACACATAATTTTACGTAAACTAATTATGAAATATTTAATGAAATATTTAATATTTAATAAAATATTCATTTTTTGATTATTATATTTTAATATTTTTATACACAAAATAATGAGGAGAATTAATTGATGAAAAAAATATATATATTGTATGTACGTGAAAATGTAGATAAACATTTTTAAGAAGAAAATATGATTTTGCATTGAGCTACTTTTTGCTTATGACTTTTATCTAAAATCAAGAATGGTATTATCAAAAACAGTATAAAAGCTTGCAGCAACATTGCTGCAATGATGCAATATTATTATTACATTGCAATATAATGTTGTAGAAATATTGTAAAGGTATTATTTTACAATATTACTTTAACAATGTTGCAGCAATATTTTGAAATATTGTAAACATTTTAAAATAACGAAATATATAAATGCGTAGCACGTGTTCTTTCGCTTCCTGCTACTCAACGACATCAAACTTCATTAACTCGTATTAATTTTTATCGTGACGAGTACTAACATAAGATGCAAAAAGATGTATCTTTTTTGTTACTTTAATTTTTAATAAAAAGATTTAATTTAAAATAATTTGTTTAATAATCTAGATTTTTCTTGTTGGGAAATATAAAATAGATTATTTGAAATTGGACGTGTTACGTCCAGACCCTGAAAGGATGAGCTGTATGGAAGAACGTAACTTACTTACCCCGTGACACACTTTATTCGGGCGTGTGTATGAATCGGGACGAACGAATGTGAAGGGCCTGATACAGGTCAGCGACCGAAGGTCTCTTTAACTCTGCGTTTTTACGCCTATTCGTTCGGTCCCTTTTCGGTAAAGGAATTTAATCCTTGTTACGCGGGATAGGACCTAGTGCGATCTCAGGGTTTAGGGAAGAGAATGGGTTAAATAATTAAATTCTACATTAAATAAAAAAATACATATATTATATTAAAAAAATAAGGAAAGAAAAATACATCTTAGCAGTTGTAGTTATGCATGAGTGAGTATGTGTGTGTATGTATATATTCTCGCGTATGTGTCATAGTTAGAATTAAAATTTTCTAAATTCGCCGAAGCACATGTCCAAATTAAAATACAATAATAAAATCTTAAATAAGAGATTCGCCAAGTCTAAGTTCAAAAATTATTAGTTATTTCAAATATTAAAAATTATTAGTTATTTCAAATATTATTTATCTATTTCAACGGTTTCTCCCAAAAGTAGTGATAATACAAAAGAAAATAATATAGAGAGAAAAGAAAAAGAGAAGAAAAAAAAATTAAAGGAAACTAGTGAAATGGATTATTCTTCAGAACCTTCGGAGAGCGGAAGAGTATTCATGAATTCCAATGCTGAAATCCAGAACGAATAAATGAAGGAAATATTCGTGAATTCCAATGCTGAAATCCAGAACGAATGGATAAAAATCTTGGGAGATTTATTCGCGAATTCCAATGCTGAAATCCAGAACGAATAACTAAAGGAAATATTCGTGAATTCCAATTCTGAAATCCAGAACGAATAAATAAAGGAAATATTCGTGAATTCCAATGCTGAAATCCAGAACGAATAAATAAAAATCTTGGGAGATTTATTCGCGGATCGCTTTTCGGAGATTCTAGGCAAATTAGGAAGAACAAGGAATGAGACTGGAGGAGAGGTGAAACAAGGATTGATTGATTGATTGATAGTAATTAGTAAAGATTTAATGATTATTAAACTGTTTAAATTATTTGTCAGACATAGATGTTTAAATTATGAGATAGTAAGATATAGGAAAGGGAGAAAATAAAAATTGCTCAAATTTACTCACAACTCGTTGAGATCACAAAAATAAGTGCGTTGATAAAATTGCAATGGCTGAAGTCGGAGGTTTGTAACATGAAGAGCCGAGTAATGGGGATGTTCATCAGAAATTTCACATGATGCACGATAAAATGTTATCAAAATCATTTTCACTATGATATAAAACAATTTAATAACTCAATTGCATAATACAAGAAAAGGATCCTCAAGGCTATATAATTTAAAAATTGAATGACTGAATCTTGCCTGGAGCTGTCAACTGTACTGCTTATAGTGCTAATTAGTGCTTATTAGTGAACGTTTAGTGAATTCTCGCGCCTTGCGCTTGCATTTTTTAAAGTTGTTGCTCCTTCTCTTTACTGGATGGTGGGGATCTTTTTGTAATAATTTCAATACTTTCTTCTTAAGGACGAAGAAGCTAATTTTTGGGAGGAGAGGCGTTTCTTAAGATCTTTATTGGTTAAGCCCTTTGGCTCGAGACAGCTCCATCCAGTAGAGAGTGAGAGTGAGCTGATTATCTTATCACTTGACGATTCGGCGATTCGGAGAACGCTTAAGGGTGGCCTGTCGAACGAGCGCACGTGCACTATCAATTTCAAGAATATTGCTGTATGTTTAGATTTTGACAATCTTCCCGAGAACCAGATCTTTATTTTAAAAGTTCTTTAGATAGAGAGGCTTCGAACATAAACCCGTACCAATAGATACGGGACGGTTGGAATAACAACCTTTCGTCTTATAATTCACGAATTTATTTAGAGTTTCGTTAACGCTATCTCTGGCCATTCTCAATATTAGATTTGTTAGATTTTTTTCTATGCGCTATCATTATTCGAAGAAGGATTGCTTTGTGCTTCAAATGCAAAGCCGATCCTTGATTTTTCTTTCACGCGGTATTTTTCTTTCATGCGGTATCATTTCGAAGAAAGAAAAGAATCGTGGAGTCCACCGAATGTAACAGACGATTTCTTTGGGAATTTTATTGGATTATATTTTGTTATTATTATAATATAAAAAATTTACAAATATTAAGTCCTGTACTCTTTTATAATCTTTTATAGTATACGTTTTTTATAGACATAATTTCTTGTTATTATTTTATACATTAAGAATATTAATATATGAAATATGCTGATATAAAATACATAAAATATATAAAATATTATTGCGTATATATTATATTATTATAACTGCAATGTTATAATATATGTAAGCAAACATTTTAAAAAAAGCAAACACTGCAATATCACAGCAACACTGTTGCAATCATTCACAATGTTTCTGTAATGATGCAATCTTGTAGAAAAATGTTATAATTTTTCCATGTTATATGGGATCTTATGTCCTTCTTCAAAACACAAAATTTTTATAAATAAATTATTCAATGGAATTTCGATGGAAATCTTAGATTTCCACAAATATCAATGCATCATTTAAAATAAGTATATGAAAATTAATGTCATTATAATCGATTATACTCACGTTCGATATAGGTTTCATTTAAAAATCGCTCCAATTTTTCATGTCGTCTTTGAGAATGCTTGCTATAACGATGCATTTGTGATTCATGCAAATTGGACTCGAGACAATTATGCCGTTCGATTATATCAAATTTGCGAGATTGTTGATTGTTACAATGTTTTCTATATAATTTTCGCAAATTTCGTTTGAGATGTTGTCTAATAGTCTTGACTTGATTATCTCGATGCTTCCTCAGCTTGTTCTGGAGTCTATTGAAATGACTTTTCACTTTTTTCTTATATTGGGACTCATCATTTTGCAAAAGATTTCTCATCAGATTTAATCGCAAATCCATTATAAATTGAATCTCCTAAAATTATTATATACAGGATGTCTTATAATGATGATCGAATATCAGAATTGTAACATTTTTCATTCTTCTCCAGGTTCAGACTCACGTACATATGCTCGCACATACACACACGCAAAACGAGTTTGTCCTTCAAGCGGCGTTCACATCGTGCATATACGATTATTGCTTCGATATGTACAATGCTTTAAGAGACAAAAATCATCGTATGCGTGCATACATGTGATATGTATATGTATGTGTGTACGTACGTGTGAGAGATTAATTTATCGTACAGTAACAATTTTCAAACACTACACTTTCGGGGTTGAATTTAATATCTTAGAAATGGAACCGTAAAAATAACTGGACGGAACTTCTGCTGTTATAAATACAATTTTAAAAAAAGTAATTTGTCGTATAACAATTTTCAAAAACCATCCCTTGAGGATGAAAAATAATATCTCGGAAATGTCGCGGAACGGTGCGTCGTAGAAATATGGGATTCAGATAAAGTCTCTACAAAAGACTAATTTACCATATAATAATAATTTTTAAAATTACCCCTTGGAAGTGAAATCTAATACTTCAGAAACCGTGTACCACAAAAATATAAAACCTGTGCCGTTAGATAAGACTTGTAAAAAGACTAATTTAGCGTACAATAATAATTTTTAAAAATCATCCCTTGGGGGTGAAATCTAATATTTCAGAAACGGTGCATCACAAAAATATAAAACCAATATCGTTAAATAAGACTTGTAAAAAGACTAATTTATGGTATAATAACAATTTTTAAAAACATCCATGTAATTTGCAATTAACAATTACATTTTTTTTTCGAAACAATTATGTGTTTTCTTTATAATTGATTTCTCTCATTATTTTGTACATGAAAGTATTAAGATAAGATAATCGAAAAATGAATATTTTACAAGATATTTTACGGTTTATGTAAAATTAAGAAATGATTTCAAGCCTCATAATTCGGAAAGTATTTGATGAAAACTAACTTAATTATAGTATTTTGGAAAGCTCTCGAGATGAGTTACAAGAATATGTAAAAGTATAGAGTGTCCTATTTAAAAAGTTAAAAGTGACCTTCACGTGACCTTTAGGTGACTCTTGAAAGTCAAACTAATGGCACCATCTTATGTCCCTTTCGAAACCATACAACTTTTGTTCGAAACATTTTTTCGTATTTTTTACGAGATATTTCGATAGAAAAGTTAAAATTGAACACCCTTATACATCTACTAGTTATTTATAGAGAATATGGACCTCATATAGACATTTAGACATTTATTAGATATCTATTAGATAAATTTTTCCGTGTGGGTTATGACCTATAGAAAGATTAATTTATGGTAACATATAATAATAATTTTTAAAAACTACTCCTTGAGGGTAAAGTCTAATATTTCAGAAACGTTCTACCACAGAAATATAAAATCTGTGCCATTAAATAAGATTTATAGGAAGACTAATTCATCGTACAATTTTCAAAAATAAAAAATATGTCTAAAAAATAATTTGCAGAAAAGATATAAAATTTTACAAAAAAAGGTGTGAAATCGCTTTAAAAAAACATCTTATAAAGGTAAAAAAAATACGCCACGTACATAAAAAATATTTCGCTTTGTATGCAACAAAATGTTTAATAAAAAAATATCCCTAAAAATAATTTACAAAAATGTTCCCCCAAAAATTAATTTGTAGAAAGGATATAAAATTTTACAAAAAGATGTGATATCTCTTCAAAAAAACCTTACAGAGTAAAAAAATACGCCAAGTATATAGAAAATATTCTACCTTGTATGTAACAAAATGTTTAATGAAGAAAGTCCTTAAAAATAATTTACAATAATTTTCCGTCACAAAATCATTTTTCTAAAAAGATAAAATCTCAACAAATAATTTTCCTAAAAAAATATTAAAAAATAAAATATCGAAACTAAATAAGAAATCAATAATTACTATTAGCCAAGTACTTAAGAGCAATTTGTAAATTTGATATAATATTTGATATAATATTTACCATCAATATATATTTGAAATCAATCTCTCTCTCTCTCTCTTACATTGTAGAAATTTTATACATAAATTCATCCTAAGAAATTAAAACACATTTTATATTTATTTAGAGAAACTTGATTTTTAAAATATTTAAACTCGACACTAAATGAAAATTTGGATTCTTTTAATTCCTAAACCATTTTTTATATAATGTATATAATTTAAAAAAAACGTTTTACGCAAGTTTTAAATCGCGCAGTCTTTAAATCGAAATATTGTAAGTTATGAAAACTTGGCGTGTCCGGATTGTAATCAAACACATAGATTAAATATTTAATTACATAATGTCTAAGATTTTACATTTTATTGAAGATATATTTATTTATAATATAAACGATCCGGGCACGCTAAGTTTTCATAATTTACTTGAATTTAAAAACTGTGCGATTTAAAACTTGCGTAAATCATTTTTGTTTTAAATTATAATTATAAAAAGAATGTTTTAGGAATTCAAAAAATCCTAAAACATAATTCTCACTTAGTGTTAGTTTTAAATATTTTAAACATTAAGTTTCTTTGAATAAATATAAAATACGTTTTAATTTCTTAGGGAGAATTTATGTATAATATTTCTACAAAATTGATTTTATGGTAAATATATCATATTTACAAATTTACAAATTGCTCTTAAGTACCGCACTAATAGTAATTATTGATTGTAATTTCCTATTTAGTTTTGATATTTTATTTTTTAATATTTTTTAGGAAAATTATTTATTGAGGTTCTGTTTTTTTAGAAATTGATTTTGTGAGGGAAAATTATTGTAAATTATTTTTAAGGGCTTTCTTCATTAAACATTTTGTTGCATACAACGTAGAATATTTTCTATATACTTGGCGTATTTTTTTACCACTGTAAAGTTTTTTTGAAGAGATATCACACCTTTTTGTAGAATTTTATATCCTTTCTACAAATTAATTTTTGGGGGAACATTTTTGTAAATTAATTTTAGGGATATTTTTTTATTAAATATTTTGTTGTATACAAAGCGAAATATTTTTTATGTATTTGGCGTATTTTTTTTATCTTCGTGAAGTTTTTTTAAAGCGATAAATTGAATCTTCTAAAATTATTATATACAGGATGTCTTATAAAGATTGTGCCAGATTCACGAACAGATAGACTGCAGTAAATTGGACAAAAAGTTCTTTATCATCATAGCCCAGATCTCGGTGCTATTTTTCACTCCAAGTGCATGTTAGCGGTCAAACGCCGCGAAAAGCAGTGTCATTTATGCCGGTGTAGTGATGATAACAAAGAGGACACCATCGCGTAGAAGAAAAAAATATATATATATATATATATATATATATATTAATATAGAAATATATGTTTATTTAATATATAAAATAATATAATATTAGTATATTGTGATACAAGTGAGGAAAGTTGACAATTGTACACGAGCGCGGAGTAACGCATGAGCCGAAGGCGAGTGCGTTCACGTAGCGCGAGTGTGCAATTGCCATTCCTCACATGAGGCTGTCTCGAATCGTCAATGTGTCCACTATGATTGAGAGAGTTTAAAAAACTCAACACTGATCAACAATTAAAACAAAAAACCTCGTAACAGTTGCTACCGTGCTTTGTAATTGTTTTCTAACGTATATGCATTCGTGATCAGTGTTGAGTCTTTTAAACTCTCTCAATCATAGTGGACACATTGACGATTCGAGACAGCCTCTGACAGCTGATTTCGAGACAGCCTCTGACAGCTGATAGCATATCAAGTTCGCAGTGAAAGGATTAATAATCTTCATTCTTCAATCTTAAGAATGGATGATAAAAGGTATGTTCAGAAATTTGATAAATCTTGGGAATTTAATTATTTTTTCAGTTACATTTCCGATCGAATAGTTTGTTTACTTTGCGGTTTTGAACCTTCGGTAGTAAAAAAATTTGCAATAGAGAGACATTTTAGAATTCGTCATTCAGTCGAATATTCCAATTATTCGAATTCAGAAAAATTGAGTATTATCGAAGGTATTATTGAAATTAGTGTATCAAGAAGATGCAATATCTGAAAATTCTTCTCAAAAATCTTTAATCGCATCTTATGCTATTTCTTTGCTCATAGCACAAAATTCAAAGTCATTTGCCGAAGGTTCATTTGTGAAAAACTGCATCATCGAAGCAGTGAAAGCTTTCGGTAATTCCTTAACTCTTGAGGAAGCAATGAGTATTCCCTTTAGTGCAAAAACAATAACGTCAAGAATTACTGATATCAGTAATTCTGTAAGAGAAAAATTAAGAAATCTTTTAAAGTCATGTAGGTATTTTTCTTTATGTCTTGACGAAAGCACCGATATTCGACACTTGAGTCAATTGAGTATTTTTACTCGAATCGTGCAAGACGATTTCTCATGTGTCGAGGAGCTTTTAGATTTTGTCTCATTACATGATACAACAACGGGTCTTGATATTTTTTTGACAGTTGAAGACTCACTTAAAAAATTTAATGTAGATTTTAGTAAATGTTTTCCGATTAAGACGGATGGCGCGAAAGCTATGACAGGTTCGAAGATAGGATTCGTCGGTCAATTAAAGCAGCGAAACTTTAACATCCCTATTATACATTGTATAATACATCAGGAAACATTAAGCGGTAAAGTTATTAAATTGTCAACAGCTATGGAGACTGTGACTAAAATAATTAATATAATTAAAGGTGGACATAAATTTCTTACTCATCGGAAATTTCAATTATTTCTCAATGAACATAATGCTGTTCACACAGATGTCCCACTTCATTGTCTAGTACGTTGGCTTAGTGCTGCAAAATGTTTGGAAACTTTTTTGCAATAAGAAAAGAGATCCTCCTTTTCTTGCAAGAAATAAACAATCAAAAATTTCAAGAATATATATCTCTTTTAGAGGATATCACATTTCTTAGCGAACTTGGATTTATTACTGACATGACTAATCAACTTAGGCTTCTCAATTT